GTAAAACTTTTTACAGACAACAACCGATGTCATAAAATAGACATTAGAGCACCTCCAGCGGGGGAGGTTGCTCGGGGGCCAGTGGGTCAAACAGTAGCAAATTGCTGGGGGGATGACCTCCAGCGTATGGAAGCCCGAGCGACAGGCGAGGCCCGAGGAGCAGGCCCGTCGAGGATTGCCAGCCCGAGAGCCCGAGGGCTGCGTCAGGCGCGTGCGTTTCACGCGCGCGTGGGCGCGAGTCGTCCGACAAAAAAACAGGGCAGGGGCCCGCGATTTCAGTTTTGAAAAGTTACCGTTGGGGAAGCCACGTGGCTTCCCCATGTCCGTTTGATTGAAACGGTCCTATTTTATGGGCCGTTGGATTTCCAACGGTAAAAAACATTTAAAAATCTAATTTAATTTCATCCGTTTGATCTAAGATCAACGGTCCACGTTATTAGGCTTTGTAAATTAAAAAAAAAAGAAAAAACAGTTTAAAAATCTAAAATGTTACCGTTGTGACACGTGGCACAATCTGGAGTGTTGGAATTTAAATTTTTTTAAATCCAACGGCAGAGATTAATTAGGTGAATAAAAATTAAAAAAAAATGTAAAAAAATTCTTAAAAATCCGAAAAAAAATTATGAAAAATTATAAAAAATTTTGATTTCACTTCACCTATAAATACCTTCTCATTATCTTCTACCCTACACCACAATTTCATATTTTCTCAACTACTTTCAACCACATTCCTATCTTTCTTTCAAAGTTTCAATCCAATTTTTTTCCAACAAAATGACTACTCAACCAGGTACGAATTGGACGCTTCTTGAAGATGTTGCGTTGTGTACTAGTTGGGTTCAAGTTACTCATGATTCGATTACGGGTAATGAGATGCAGTTGCGAGAAATGTGGAGTCTTATTCATACCAATTATCTTTGAGAAAATGGGTGGGCAAAGAACTAAGGAATCGATGTCCAGTCGTTGGAAATTACTTAGTCAATCGTTTAGTACGTGGAGAGAGACGCCTTGGCACAAGCTAGTAGTGGTAATCTTCGAAGTGGGGAAAATTTAACGGATCAGGTAACAATATATTATTTATTTGTTAGCTACTTTCATTATATTTATTTGTTTGTATTATTTATTTGTTATCTTCTTTCATTATAATTATTTGTTAGCTACTTTCATTATATTTATTTGTTTGTATTATTTGTTACCTACTTTCATTATAATTATTTGTTAGCTACTTTCATTATAATTATTTGTTTGTATTATTTATTTGTTACCTACTTTCATTATAATTATTTGGTTGTATTATTTATTTGTTACCTACTTTCATTATAATTATTTGTTAGCTACTTTCATTATATTTATTTGTTTGTATTATTTATTTGTTACCTACTTTCATTATAATTATTTGTTAGCTACTTTCATTATATTTATTTGTTTGTATTATTTATTTGTTACATACTTTCATTATAATTATTTATTTGTTACCTATTCTCATTATAATTATTTGTTTGTGTAGGAACTTCAAGCACAAGCTTGGTATGGTGCCAAAACCAAAAGCAAAAATAAAACATTCACCCGGTTTGAATGTTGGAATATTGTCAAAGATTGTCCTAAATTTAGAGTTGTGCATGTCGGTCCAGAAGTTTTCATGAACAGCACCCCTCTACACTCTACACCTGAGCATGCCTCGCATGATCATGATGAAGATGATGAAGAAGTGCCTGAAACGCCCCCCGTTGAACAAGCGTCGGGGTCGACCCGTTATCCAATTAGGCCTCAAGGTAAGAAGGCTTCAAAGAGAAAAGGTAATGCTTCCAAGAATGATTATGCAAAGTATATGGAAGATCTTGCCCGCCAAGGTGAATTGAATTTGGCCCGGAAAATGGCTAAATTTGAGGCTGATAAGGCTAGAGAGGATGCAAAAGCTGCAGCTTTTGAGAGAAAATTTGAAGCTGATGAGAGAGAAAGAGAACTACTTCGGCAAGAAAGGGAACATAGAAGAGAAGAAAGAATGGCTGAACGAGATCGTGACATTATGAAGGAGCCTTTAGAAGGGAAGTCTCCAGACTCTAAATATTTTTGGAAGTCAGAGAAAGCGGATGTGTTGCGAAGGAGGCGTGCAAGAGAAGCGAGAGCAAGAGGAGATGGTCCTAGCACCACAAGAGAAGATTATCCTAGCATGACAAGAGAAGATCATCCTAGCACCACAAATTGGTTAGGTGATGGTTATCATCCATTCACGAACCCATAATTTTCCAATCAATTCGGGTTGTAATTTCTTATTCGGGTTGTAATTTCTTATTCATTGAATAGAGTACTTTATGTTGTTTCCAATTTATTGAACTTAGTACTTTATTCAAAACACATTTAAACACACCAAATAAAATAACATCAACACACCAAATAAACACACCAAATAAAAACAAACACCAAATAAAAAATAAATTACATTTCAACTCACTAAATGAACTAAAAAAACACACCACATAAAATAAAATAAACACACCAAATAAAAACAAACACCAAATAAAATAAAATTACATTTCATCTCACTAAATGAACTAAAAAAACACACCACATAAAATAAAATAAACACACCAAATAAAATAAAATTACATTTCAACTCACTAAATGAACTAAAAAAACACACCACATAAAATAAAATAAACACACCAAATAAAAACAAACACCAAATAAAATAAAAAATTACATTTCAACTCACTAAATGAACTAAAAAAAACACACCACATAAAATAAAATAAACACACCAAATAAAAACAAACACTAATGAACTTAAGTATCGTCAGCACCCCTCAATTCCCACTGGTGCTCTATCAAGTCAAGTTGGCGGGCATTGTGCATATTTGACCTTTGAAGTGCAGTATATCGTTGGATGATCCTTTCATTGTAACGTCCATCCCTTTCTAATGGCTCATGTTGCACGGGCTCATCGGTGGCGTCATGAGCACAATATATACGTGTTCTTGAATTGTTCATCGTGTCTGGCTCATATTCATCAACGGCTTCATAATCGTACTCATCTTCCACAATCATGTTGTGAAGAATGATGCACGTCATCATGATGGATCGAAGCGACTCTACATCAAACAATCTGGCAGCACCCCTGATGATCGCCCAGCGAGCTTGGAGGATACCGAAACAACGCTCCACATCCTTCCTGCACCCTTCTTGACATCTTGCAAAGTGTTTTTCCTTTGCACTGCGCGGACGTGGCACTGTTTTGACAAATGTTGACCACCTTGGGTAAATGCCATCAGCTAGGTAGTATGGCCCGTCGTACATACGTCCATTGACCTCATACGTGACTTTTGGTGCATTTCCTTGCAGGACATCGTTGAACACTGGGGATTGGGCAAGGACGTTGAGGTCATTTTGAGCTCCCGGAACCCCGAAAAAGGCGTGCCAAATCCATGTATCAAAAGATGCCACCGCCTCCAAAATGATACTTTTTGATCCTTTTCTGTCCCCATAAGCGCCTTGCCATGCACTTGGACAGTTTTTCCAAGTCCAGTGCATACAATCAATGCTTCCAATCATCCCTGGAAAACCTCGAATCTCGCCTTTCTTCAGAAGCCTTTGCAAGTCCATATGAGTAGGTCTCCGGAGGTACTCTGCGGTGTAGATAGATTCGATTGCCGAACAAAACCTCATGAGGGACTCAAGAATGGTTGATTGTCCCATCCTCGTTATCTCGTCCACTTGGTCTGCAGCTGCTCCATATGCAAGCATCCGCAAGGCAGCAGTAATTTTTTGCTGAGGCAGGAGACCCATAGCACCAAAAGCATCCGGCTTTTGCACAAAGTAAGAATCATGGTTGCAAACAGCGCCCATGATTTTGTTGAACAAATGTCTTTCCATTCTAAAACGACGTCGGAAGTATGTTTCAGGGAATGCACTGTTACGGACAAAATAATCGTCCAAGAGCTCCTGACCTCGTCGTTGCCTGTTTCTATCAATGTTTACAGCACGGTTGGGCCTGCAGATATGAGCCACAGCTTGGACGACTCGACGGGATTGTGAGGCTCCTGCCATTCTTGATTCGTCATCTCTCCGTCTACGCTCGTCATCCTCTTCCATCTCATTTTGGGCCCAATCCCTAACATTGAACATTCCTTGTGATTGGTTAAACAATTCTTCCTCTTCTTGCTCGATTTCCCACATCATCTTTGAAGAAGAAGAAGAAGACATTGTAAAAAGGAAGCAGAAACTATGAATAATGATAGGGATTTTGGTGAAGAAGGAAGCAAAAACTATGAATAATGATAGGGATTTTGGCGAAGAAGGAAGCAGAAATTATGAATAATGATAGAGATCTTGAGAAAATTGGTGTGAGATTTATGAGGATGGATGGGGGATTATATGGAGGATTTAGAAGGGATTAGGTTGTAGATAATGTCACGTGGCATGCCGTCATTCGTTAAAAATCTGGTGGAAATCTATCCTCAAAGATTGTAATCGGATTGTGACACGTGGCACGACGTGATTGGTTAAAAATCTTATCAGAAATCCATCACCAATAATTGTCTTTTCAGATAATGACACGTGCCTTGACACAACGATTAAAAATCTTATCGGAAATCCATCACCAATAATTTTCTTTGCGGATAATGACACGTGGCGCAACGAGAACGATTAAAAATCTTATCCGAAATAACAAATATAATTATTTTGAATTATTTTATAAATACAAAAATACAAAAATTTTATTGCTATTGGCTTTTCGGATAATGACACGTGGTGCAACGAGAACGATTAAAAATCTTATCCGAAATTACAAATAAAATTATTATGTATTATTTTATAAATAAAAAAGTATTAATATTTTATTGCCAATTGCCAGGGCTATTCAGTGCAGGGGTGGAGATGCAAAAGGCAATTGACAGGGGAATGCACTATTCATTAAGGGCAGTTACTGTTCACTAGGTGGATTAAATAGTGAATTGCCTGGGAGGGCTCCTACACTGGAGTTGCTCTTACACCTTCAAATAAGGCCACCCGCTACAAGTTGAGACCCTCCCTCTTTCCCAATTTCTGTAGCCGTTAATAACAGAATTCGCGCCATCTTATTAAATTCCCAAAAACGCTAAACCCTAAACCCCAAATCCAAAACCCTATCTTCTCAATTTGATCGAGGAAAGATGCTGGAGGCGAAGAGTCTGAGCAAGGCAGTAGTGCCGTCTTCCCTCATAGAGAATCCTTCTCCTGGTAGTCTCCAGTCCACTCGCCTGGCTCTCCATGTGCGCACTCTCCTAAACCCTAACCCTACCTCTTTCCGATGTCCTCTCTTTTTATCTCCCTTTGTATTTATTTATTATAATTGTTCTAATTTCTGTCAGGTTGCCGAGGACTGCTCCTCGTGTTGGGTCTACATCGCCTCCGGCTGCCAAATTTATAAGCTTCAGGTATTATATCTCACAAGCCATAATTTGACTATTTTTTAACCTTCTAATTTCTAGTATCTTTGAAAGTTTGGTAAATGTATGCCAATTTGTGGGACTGTGATTTCGGTACGTTTGATTGTTTCTAGATGCTAAATCTGAAAGGCATGCCTAAAGTTAGATATGTAAATTTGTAAAATTTTGAAGAACCGTGAGTGTGATATCCCAGTTCAACTGCAAAATGTTTGTTTGAGATCAGTCGGGGTTGGAACTTGCCATGGTAGAGAAACAAAATTGCTGATAAAAACACTAACAAATATTAATACAACGTGTTCCGAGTTTTAGGTATGACATAATTTGATCATATGTTACTAGTCAAAGTGCATGGTGGTAAGCTAGAAGCTTTCTTAATATTCTTCTTTTTGTTTCATTTAAGATTCCATTGGAAGAGTCTCTGGTCGGTGAAGGGAAAGAAGGCCTTCTGATTCCTGTACTCAGGGAGGTAGGCAATTTCATGAATTGAAGCATGGCTATTCAGTAATCAGTATATTCTGTGTTAGTTCTGTAATAATTCCTCTGATCCTTGAAGGTTATGGATTCTTTTATGGTTAACCGCTGCCCTCATCGTTCTGAAATTCAGAGTATGGTGCTTGCTGAAACAGAGAGTAAGTGATTGTTGCGCTGAGGTTTTTTTTTTTTTTTTTTGGTTTTGTTAGGTTAGGCTCACGTTTTATATTGATTGTCCATACCATCATTGTTAGATTTTGGATAAGCGGGGGAAAATAGAGGGTGCATAGTGCTGTTGCTTATACCTCTTCTTTGACCTCTATTTTTTTAAGGGTATTGTATACTTTTTGTTATTCCAATGGAAGAGTAGGAGTAACATTTTGTTTTATTATTTTAGGATTTTGACCATTTTCATGAAAAAGCAGGAATGATGTGTACCTTTTTCTAGAATTGAATATCAAACTTAGATCAGGAATTGGCTTCAGATTAGGAAAATGCTAGGGAGACCACCTTTTTATACCACATTTGTGTACCATCTGGTGTGGCAAGTTATGTGTGCATGTCACGTCAATTAATGAACTTATCTTTTTGGATGTTGGTTGTATGCATCACTTGCCACATGAGATGGTGTTCTAATGTGGTATAAATATGCTGTCTCTCGCATTACTCTTCAGATAATGTATTCTAGAGAAAATGTGCAAATATCATTTCAGAATATGGGTTTTGGAAATTTTCCTAATTTCTTATCATTTGTTATCTTGTCAAAATGCAGGCAATGACTATTCAATGTTGGGAACTGTGGATTCTTATGGTCACTTTATTGTATCAAAACTAGATACTACTGGTGAAGGTACAATTTCTCATTTAGTTTTGATTTGTGGTTCTACCCTTGTTGTGGGGATTTGGGAATATATGCTTTTAAAGAGAGAAAAATGAAGTTGATGGCCTTCCTGGGAGATGATTTAACGTGCCATGTAGAGGTTCCTTTTTCTTTTCACTTAGTGGGAAAGGGCTTTGTTGTTGTTGTTGTTGATGTGTGTGTGTGTAGAGAGAGAGAGAGAGAGATAGAAATGTGCCATGTAGAGAGGTTCCTTTTTCTTTTCATTTTGTGTACAAGGCTTTGGGTAATGGAGAGAAACACAATCATAGTGGCTTTACAATTGAGAGAAGGGCCCCTCCAACCTTAATTGGATCCAAGTGTTTAGTTCCTGTAGTGGTTTGATCTGCATTATGGCCCAGAAAGGAGCTTTCTTTATATTCAATCTTTGCACTGCAGTGTCCTTGCAAGTTCCCGATTGCCCCATGCCAATTCATGTTTTCCCTCAACTGATTGGATCAAAAGATAGAGGCATAAAGCTTCTTTTTCATGAAGACTAACTAAACTTTCCTAATTTGAGCAACCACCTAATCTACTCTTTTAAGAATATTAGCAATGGAAAAGAACTTGCAATGAATAACCACAGTTGAGCAACTAATGCATAGTTTAAGGGAAGAAGGACCTGCCATGAAAATTTTAATCTCCTTTTCCCACTCATGAGTAAATAAATGCTTAATATGTGTAACAAAAATAAGAAAAAAAGAGTCACTACCCATTTATATGCTTTATGATCTTGAGATCGAGATAGCCCTGCAATCATGGAGCTTGTGCAAGGAGCTAGTATACAAAATGCTCAATGGTCATTACATAGTTATTAACAATCAAAATTTGCCAAATTAATCAGTTTTTTTCTCTCTTTGTATCTTGATTCAATGCATTTGCTGCATCATTTTAATATGAAAGTGAGGTAGAATATTACATCACCAATTGAATTATGTGAAGGGTTTCAACTATGTGCATATTATGGTTATAGTTTCATTTTGTGTTTGGCTTACTAATTGTAGAATTAACCTATTAATTCTCACATGTAGAGCGACTTACTTATTCAGTATTGCCTCGTGATTGTGGCATTGGAGAAAGTGGTTGGGCAGGGCTTTCCTTCAGTCCTGCACAATGGTCTACGGTACTGAGTGATTACTTTTACTTTTGACACTGAATTTTTGCATTGTGTTTCAAAACGCCGTTTCATTTGTGAGCAATCAGCCAAAAATACCAAAGCTGAACCATGTTATGAATAGTATTAAGTTGTCTGGATTCATTATTGACAATTACTTTAGTATGTACTGGTTTCTCATCTGTCAGTAAAACCCTTTCATTTTCTTAAACTTTTCCATTGGGACTTTTTTTTTTTATCTCTTTTATCTAATTTCTTTTTGTCAGATTTCCAGTATCTTTAATATCTTAGAATTACATATTGAAATCATTACAGTATTGAAGTAAAATTAAATAAACAGATTTAACCTTGTAGGCCAAAGATTATTCAGAGACGCTGGGTTTATAAGATACAATTGAGTTCACACAACTAAAATTTTTACATGATCAATAAAAGGTGCAAGGAAAATTTATAAGTCACATGGAGACGTCTTTCCTGTTAATAAGAATGAAAAATAGGACAGATGTGCTTGCTGTATCCTTTCCTTTGTAAACATTTAACCCAAATAGTTGGGAGACTATGATTTGTTCTCTGATTAGTTTTTCCTACTTATATTTCTCTATATATATGCATCATCTCTTTTCCAGGCAGCCGTTGCGCGTAGCTTCTGCAAAACCATTGATGTTTATGACCAGGATATTCATGTCAGGACATTGTGTACGTAAGTGTTACATGTGGTTCCTGAATAGTTATTTAGTATTTCTAGTTGAAATCCATCACTGTCTATATTTGAAAGAAATTAAATTCCATATAATTGTGACACTTGTTGTGTTTAGAACAAATCGATTCAGCTGGGACATTCAAAACACCATGTTCTGGCGTGTGTGCATTTGTTTTCTCATTTGTGCTTTTCATCAATCTTTAATTCTCAGTATCCATTGAGATGGTTATACTTAATGCTAAAATTGCTTTCATTGATATCTCTAAGTTCCATTCCTGTGGAATGTTTTGAAATGTAAAATGTCGTCACCTCTGGTTGTTTCTGGAACATGTTCCTTCAATTTACTACTGCATATTATTCCAGGATGAACAAAAAAAAAAAAAAAAAATAGAGAATCGAAGGACAAGCCCCACTTTTAGTCAATATTTATTTTCTATTATAATTTGTTTGAATACTTTGTGATGAAAAGAGCTATCAATTGTATATGACTAATTCATGAGATATGTGTTCAGAGTGCGTATGTGATTTTCTTTGTGCACTTTGCCTATGATTTTCATTTCACCGTAATGGCTGACTGATCACCGATATATTCAACCTAGGTTATGCAGCTACTCAGAAAACTTATATCCATTACCGAAGATCCTTATAGAGCTTTCAGTCAACTTTGTTGCATTAATTTTATGTAAAAAAAAATATTTCCAGCCCTTTTTGTTAACATAGCCATTTTACAGACTTTGGTATCCGTCATCATTGAACTTCATAACATGTTCACATTATGGAAATGAGGGTTCTATATTAGCAATCACAGAAGGTTCCCAGGTAAAACTTTTGTGTTTTTATACCTTTTAGGTTTTCGAATGGTTTCATGGACTTTATTATTCAATATGCTTGAATTGCTTAGCTGCATCTATTGGGATAACTGTAGCTGACTATATGGGACTTGAGAATGAAAGAAAATGGTGGCTGTCTACAACGAATATGTGGTTCCCTTGGTGATGCCTTTTATGCTGTGTGCTGTTCTTCAACTGGGAATGTTGCAGTCGGAGGAGCTGATCGTACAGTGACAATCTACGATCCTCGCAGGTGGGTACCATTTGGTTCAATAATGTCCAAGTTATTCTAGTTATCTTTGGTTGTCCTTGACTCTTGTTGATTTACGATTTATGCTTTCCTTAGGCTCCAGTAGGTATTCAGAAGCTAAGGAAAATAATTGAACTTTAGTTTTTGGTTTCGACTCTTCTTTTACACTCTGCAAAACTGAGAACTCAGAGTCGGAACTGAAACCGGATATATGGTATGTGTTAATTTCATGTAGATGGTCATCATTATCAAGATGGGTGCACTGCTCCAAATATGAGGTCAGTTGTGTTTTAACATATGATGCATTGTCTTTGTGTATGAGCCCACAGTGCATTTATTTGTTTTTAATTTGCTAATCGTTGGTCTTTTATTTTAATAGTGGACTTTCAATTTTAAATATAACGAACTTCCACTTTGTTCAAAAGCGACCAAATTTCTGTTGTTTTATTATTTGGATTATACGTAAATGCTGGAGATGGCAATTTTTTTTGCAGATAACTGGGCTTGCTTTCTCTTCAGTTGACTCCAACTACATCTACGTACAAGGGGTTGACTATGAGGTTATTGCAATTTCTTTTTAATGTTCCTTTTTTTACATGGTAACTTCATTTAGGTGAATGATTTTTGCTAAGCCTTGGTAATTTAATGATCACCCTAAACTGTCTGACGAGACTGACATGAAAGTTTAATTTATTTTTTTTTAGAATTGGTTGGAGGCATTTATGTTGTTTTGAAAGGCAAACTCAGTTTTATACGTACTGAAATACTAATATCCCGAAAGCAAAGACAACTAAGAACGAAGTCCTCATTGTTGCTTTCTAAGATGACCCATAAAACACTCAGAGGGTTCAGAATTTGAGAAGCCTTATTTTCATCTGTCCCAATTGCTTATAAATTTTTAAAAGAAGCATGACATAAGTTACTTTGGCCCTCTTCTGCACCTGGTTTTGTTTTATCCATCATTTGGAAATCTTTCTTAATAGCTGACTTGTTACTCTGAATTCTCATTGCGGCAACCTATGACTTTGTTTGCAGGTCTTATGTGGACAGTGGAAAGATAGCAGTAAGTTATTTTCATTTAGAGGAGACTCAAATTGGCTTGGTTTTAGCAAGGTATTACTTTCTAATGATTTGCACAAGCCTTGAATACATACTGTCCTCACACTTATAATTTTAATTGTGTTTCTTGAATCAAAACCGGAAATTTGTTCTATTGAAAGCTCCTTACGAATGTAAAGGTTTGGAGGTTTCTGGGATTTCTGGAAATTTGTTCTATTAAAAACTCCTTACGAATGTCGAGTTAATCTACGATTATCTTTCTTCTACAATAGGAAGCCAAAGATGATTTTATCCAACAGACCTAGGAGTGATGGGATCCGATCAATTAAACAAAAAACAGCTTTGCCTATAATTTCCAATAAAATTCTTAAAACTTTGATGTGCTATTGCAGTGCCAAAATAGGGATCTTCTAGGTGGATGGTGCGACTCTGGTAGTATCTTTGTGGCCGATGTTGTAGCTAAAGAGAAGGAAACAAACGCACCGACGTGTTCTTCCAGTGGATCTCCTGGCGCTCGTTCAACTTAATTCTCATCTGCGTAAGAGGACTTTCACTGCCGTGCTGTATCGCACTGCAAAAGAGTCGTAAGCAGTCATTTTGAGTAGCTACCAATGCCGTCCCCCAGTGAATTCTAATATTTTAGTTCTGCAATTTAGAATTTTGTACATGAAATGTAGGGTTACCGTGATATGAACTGTTTCTAACTTTCTGATTTGGAATTAATGTGATTGTAGATTCTTAACTTATCTTCCTATTTTTGCGTTTTCGGTTTCCAGTAGGCGTCCACATGTGTGTGAGCGACAATCAGTTGTTGATGGCTATGGATTCTGCAATAGCGTTTAGGTTCCTAAACCCTTCTGCAATAGAGTCCACACATATCTACAACTAGTGGCAGAGTCACATAGAGGCCAATGTCGGTCCAGGCCTCTCTTGAAATTTCAGCCTTTTGTGTGTACTCTCTGCAAGCTTTTACAAAAATGAGCCTGTGGCTCGTTGGCCTATACAGCCTAGAGCAAGATCTAATTTTAAGTCATGATTCTAAAATTTAAAGCTGCACCATTCTTATTTGATTGAAACTTTCCATGCCAATCCAAAAGAACCAGGATCCTCGCCGGATCCATTCCCTAGGGATCCTAGGAATTCCGTAATCATGTCCGTTCATCGTATATTGTGCCGTCAGAAATCATTTAAAATTTAAAATTCAAATATAAATAGTACTTAATGAAAACTGACCGCACAATATACGATGGATAGACACGATTGCAAGATCTCTAATAAATGGATCCGATGAGAATCCTGATTCAATACAAAAAACAAAACCTTTAATTTTCTTCCATTAATTATATTTTAAATGCTAATTTCTTTCTATGACTTATGCTCCTTGTAATCTGATTTTTTGACTTGGGCACTGACGACACTTGACAGTCACCCGCGTGGACAATTATCAAAGTTGGCCCCATCTACATCTTGGTTCTAGTTAAGCATTCGGATGTATTTCTTGGTACTTGAGGGTTTACGAATGCGTCAAAAGTCAAGGGTCAAGATGCCTTGCTTGGTTGACCAACAGGGGTATATTGGCTATGGCTGCTGTCTTGTTTTTAGGGGGGGTGTGTGTGTTAGGGCATGTATGGTTTGGACTTGGATTCTCTGCCCTCCCAATTCGGTGTCCTCCCCGTGCCCTCCTGTTTGTGTGGTCACGATTAAGCCACGTCAATATTTTATATTACTATTTTTTTTTATCTTATTATTTTTATAAAAAACAATATAAAATGTTAGCATGGATTAACCATGACCACACAAAACAAAAGGGCACAAGGAGGACACCGAAATGGGAGGGCAGAGAATCCAAGTCTGTATGGTTTTGGACCAAGTTAATAGCAGACCTTAAAATAAGAAAAAGGGCCCCCACCCTAACCGTCATTTCTCATGTTCGAGCGCAAGTTTTATGGCACGGATATACTATAATGGTGACATTTTGTGTCAGTAATACGATGGTATGTACAAAGAAAATAACATATATTCTTGTATTGTTGATACAAAACATTATTGTGACGGTGTATTTGTGGCGTACAAGTCATTTTTCGTCTCAATAAAACAGTTAACTATTACTAGTTCCAAATTATTATCCTATGTTATTATTGATTTTGGGTTCTTGCTTTATTTTGTTTTCGTCTATAAAATCTGCCTCCTACCTCATTTAATTCACGAGGATTCGCACAACGATGGTTGCCATAAATCAATTTGTTGAAAAGAATTTATCAAGCTGCTCTCGGTCTAATAGTATTTTTCGTCTTCGTGTCAAAAAAAGATTTTAAGTTTGAATATTTCATTCCTATTTACTTATTTAAATTGCTAAAATATTTATTCATCATTGCTTCTGTAAAAATCACTTTTGCTCTTGACAGATTTTAACAAAGTACTTATATTAGAAACATATAGAATTTTTTGTTAAAAATCTAACTGCTTGAAAAAGGAAGCGTCCGCCAAGTGTTTTGCCAAATATATATTAAAAAAATACTTTTAATCATTTCAGATGCAATTTTTATCAAACTTTCTAGGAAGTTTTAATGAAAAGTCCGCAGTACTGTTCACTTTAATAAAAAACTACATTTTAACACTAAAAAGTCAATCATGATATTATTTATTTTATCCTTTATTTTATCCTTATCGTTAAAACTCAAAATTTTCAAACATTTTTCATTAGTTTTCCTAATTTTTTTCTATCATTCGATCTAAGTGAATGGTACGTGAATAACATCATGAAGAATATAATTAAGTAAATGGCATCATCAAAAATTTAAAATAAAAATCATTTTGAAAGAATAACGACACTAGAAGACTGCTTCAATCACATATATTATTGAATGGAATGGAGCATATCATAATTTTGATCATCATCCATCAAAGCGACAGTGGTACACACGTCCCACTCCATCCATCCATACATCAACTCAAGGAGAGATTTTATAGTGTATCGGAAACACGATTCGGTACACTAAATGTCATAAAAAAAAATTGGCTGAAGGCTTTTTTTTTTTCCAATACTCATCCATTGTTTTATAACATTTGTTGTACCTAGTCGTGCATCCGGTACATTGAAAAATTTCTCCAACTCAAGAAGAAGAAGAAGCCCAAATCATTTAATAAATTTCAAAAGACCAATTCCAAAATATAATCAAAGCTTATTATCCTCTCGAAGCTCTTGGTTCTTCTTCATCTTCAACTAGGAAACTACTTTTTCTTGTGGTCCAAGAAAGAACCCATATCAAATGGAAAACAAAGTCGCAATTTGTTTCTTTTTGTTATCTTTTTCCCTTCTTTATTATGTACTTAATTGTTTCAAATGATAAAAATTAATTATAATATTTGGTAGAGTGAAAGATGGGTTTCTTTCTTTGTTTAGGAAACGAGGAAAAGAGAGTTTTTTTTTTTTTTTTTTTTTTTCACCCCAAATGTCACAGCCCGTCCCGGAGGTACTGTTGACGGGAATGTGAAATGACGGAAGTGCCCTTGGCGTTTTTAAGGTGCGTATGTTAGAGGCGTTATTTTGGTCCGAATATTAATTTAGCTAGAAGAATATTAGAGAGTTGGAAATTTTGAAGGTTGATTTCTTTTATTTGTATGGCTAGGATGAAATGGAGGGTGTGGGTTAATCTGGACCACACAAGACCTCTCCTTCCCTCTCCTTCCCCCGTGCCTTCCCTGTCTCTCCCTCTCCCTCACGAACTCACGCACACACACCCATTGTACGGCACACACCCAAAATCCTTCCAAACTCGACGGATCGAGGCAATTAAGGTATGTATCTTCATCGTTTCGACGTCCTGAGTTCATTGATGCTAGTTTTAGGAAGTGAAACCTTCGATTTCACGTGGATCCCAAACCTCCATTTTTGAGGTACTGTTCATGCAGTCGTTAAATGTCGCGTTTCAGGGAATTTCAAGCTTGTGGTGAGCTTTAGGAGGTCCTAAGGAAGCTCGGGGACGTTCGTTGGAGAGTTTTGGACGTCGGGATCGTAGGTTTCAAGGTTGGCCGAATCTTTGGTTTTTACAAGGTGAGATTTCTTGGTTTTTAGGCCCTAAAACTAGTCCAACGTGATAGTACACTCTTAGGGCTTCAATTTGGTATAAAATACGAAGAAAATGGGTGAAAAACGAAGGAGAACAAGGAGTTTGAAAACTGGCCGGAGTTTGGCCGGAGTCCGGCCGCCGGAAAAACCAGTCTGGCGAGCCCTGCGAAGGGGATGACACGTGCTGCACGTGCTGCGCGTGGCCTGCGCGTGGACCCGTGGCGCGTGGGGGCGCGTGAACACTCCAAATTTTTTTCTAAAATTATCCCGACGCTCGTGACGTCGAGTAGGTCGATGTGGTATATTCATATACCCAAATTGAGCACCGTATGAGAAAGTTATTACGATTATTGGTTAGGTGCTTTAATTAACGTTTTATAGTTTTCGCATTTAGGTGAAAATGTGAATTGACGATCCGACCGTTGGATCGTCACCAAACTCTGATACGTTGTAATACGTAATATTTGAGGATTATTGGAACTTACGGATTGGGAATCCGAGTTACGGATCTTCCGGAATTGGAGTTGTAAGTTCATAAAATAAAATGTTAACCGTCACTTTAGTTTTGGAAATTGACGGAGATCCGACCGTTGGATGGTAATGAAATTTCAAGATGTTGTCCTAGAGATATATTGTGGGCCTCTGGAAGTTATGGATTTAAAATCTGAGTTGCAGATCTTTCGGATCGAACTGCGTAGTGATGTGTTTTATATAAGTTATATTCTATCGATATGATTTCTGAGGTTGGATTTGATTATTGTTCTAGGCGGCGATCGTCATGACGCCTTGATGAGTTGTGCTAGGGAGTTGTAGGGCGAACTCCAGGTGAGTGGGCAGTTTTGTTTTCGTATTACCTATATACTATTGAGTTTTCCCAGAAATTGAATTTAAATGAAAGTATGATTTAAAATGCCATGGATAGATTTATATGAAAAGTATGATTTGAAATGCCATGCATAGAAGTATATGAAAAGCATGAATTGATATATGATGCATATATATATGTGAATTGGTGCTGTTGACGCACAGGTAAGCATCAGGTGAGTTTTATATTATTCATGTGCATTGTTGATGTGTATATTGTGGATAGCTCATAACCTGCAATCATGGTGTTAGTGCTTATATTATTCACCACACCGCACGCTCGTCTTGGATCCAAGTAGGTGGATGTCGTACAGACCAAGTGAGGGTTCCGACATGCTAGTCGTATAGATTACTAGATGTGATTCCGACTAGTGGGTGACCTTAGATTATGTGCACAGATGATTGATGAGAGAAGCACTAGAGCGTATTATTACACCATCCATGTCGTACAGACTACTTCAGGTAGTTCCGACTTATCTGCAGTGTAGTGCCGTACAGGTCATCGAGGTGACTCCGGTTGGATTGGATATTGAGCTATGGAATTAACCGTACAGGACCAATTGCAGGGTCTCCGGTTAATTCAACTTTTCACCTGTTACATTGATGCATCATTTATTTTGTTTTCGAAATTAAAACATGGCATACTTTCGGGTTTTAAAGAAAAATTGATGATTCGAGATTTATGAAAAGTATTATGTTATTATACTATTTTCTGGGAAAAGTATACAGGTTTTACAGTGAGTGGTTAGAATTATTTTTGGCGAAATGTTTTTGAAAAGCTTGGTTTTACTGACCCACTCAATTTTGTTTTTC